TATATATATATATATATATATACATTGGAATATTACTCAGCCATCAGAAGTGATGAATACTTACTCTTTACATTGACATGGATGGAATTGGAGGGCATTATGCTGAGCAAAATAAGTAAACTGGAGAAAGACAATTATCATATGGTTTCAATCACGTGTGGAATATAAGAAACAGTGCATAATACCATAAGGGAAGGGAGGGAAAACTGAATGGGAAGTCACCAGAGAGCGAGAAAAACCAAGAGAGACTCTTAACTATGGGAAACAAACTGAGGGTTGCTGGAAGGGAGGTGGGTGGGGGATGCGATAACTGGGTAATGGGCATTGAGGAGGGCACGAGATGTGATGAGCACTGGGTGTTATATGCAACTGAGGAACTGTTGAACACTCCATCTGAAACTAATAATGTACTATGTGTTGGCTAATTGAATTTAAATTGAAAAATAAGGTAATGATATTTCAAAAATACAAACTCCAGTTCACAACCTTCAGAAAACTTGAGCCACAATAAAGCTGGACTCTGTAGCAATGGTCAGTATCTTGCTCTAGCTGACTCTTCTAGCCTTACCTTGCCATCCCAACGAAGGGCTGGAAACCCAGCTCTGTTCACTTACAGAGTGAGGGATTGGGACAAAATGACTTACTACTTTGAGAATTATGCTCCTCATCTACAAGATTCAGGTTCCTCCGTGGGTCCCCAGATGTAGAGAAAAATAGGGACAGCTAATGTGGGACTCAATTATCATGGGGCCAGAAGGCAGGCAGACTCCCGATGGAGATCTATCCAACTTCTAACAGCCCTCTGGCCCCTCCGGGGTACAAAGAGGACCTGGGTAAGAAAAGAAATGTGCAAATATCATCATTCATGCTTGAACAAAACACATTGGTAGCTCTGAAAAAAGAGGGAAGTATTCTGATCCAAATCTGCTTCATGAAGGACATGATATTTGAATTGGAGCTTGAGTAGACTTTGGAACAATGGTGAAAGTGGAGAGAGGAAGGGGTAATGTGTGCAAAATGGCGGAGTGAAAATGGTGCCAATCACAGGCCAGGTACTGTGCGAGGTACAGGGGTATACGAGGATGGATGAGGCAGAATCCCTGCCTCAAGGAGACTCTGTGGAGAATGTGCAGAAGAAAGGGAGCTAGCGCTTTTGAGCAACTAGTATGTGCAGTACACATTCCTTCTCATTTCAAAAATTATTTGAGTTGGAACTACACAGAAGAGAACACTGAATTTGGGTTAAAGGACTGGGATCTCAACCCAGATCTCTTAGATTCCGAAACTGAAGCTAGCTACAACTGCTGTGAGTTGTTCCTTATTCACTGTCTTGAAGCATCTCAGCATTTTGTGTGTCTGTTTTCCTGTCGCAGGTATTACCAGCAGAGATATCAAGTCGTGCTTTGGAGGTTTTGTGGGCATTGATTTTGACTATTCAGACAGTATACAAATTGGAGGAAAGTTATCAGGGGAACGTTGTAAAGGATTTGGAGGTGGCGACACTGGTAAGTATTGAGTAAAGGGTCTCCCAGAGAGAAGCTAGACTTTTCCTTGGACACACACTCGGGGCATGAACATGATTTTCCTCCTCAGTTGATTCCATTTCAGTCAATGGTCACATTGCACAGGTGCTAAATACCCCAAAGCAATGACTAGTTGTGGCTCTATTTTGAATTCACCATGAGCTGAGATCACCTTAGAAAGACGTGATTTTGGAACATGCCCCCTGCTGGATTTTGAGCCCTAGACAAAGATCTAAGAAAGAACTGGGATGAAAGGAATGTGTAGACAGAACCTGGGTAGTTGACTGTTGAGATGAAGGCGCCTTGGGTTACAGTCCAGAGGGAGGAGACAAGTCTTCTGAGAGAGAAGAATATAGTTATTAAGGGCAAAGAACAATTATTAGAGAAAGACTGTACACAGATATTTTGTGGCATTTCCTGAACAAGTCAGTGTGAGTGCTCACGCATGCATTCATTCATCAAATGTATTGGGTACTTTTTTTCAGGTGGGAGACACAGAGGATGCAGGGATGATGAAACAGTTTACAGTATAGTGGATGAGGTAGATATGAAACAGGTTCAAGTTACTCCCATTGTGTTAGGCTACTCATGCCTCAGGGCCTTAAGTCAAATGATTTCTTCTCTGTGATGCCCTTCCTTCCTCTCTCCATTTACTTCCAAAAATTCATTCACTTTTCTAGACAACTCACCTTTCACCCTGACCACCCTCCCTCCTGTACTGTAGATCTTTCTCCATGCCCTTTCTGAGCCCCATAGAGACATCTGTCACAGCACCTGTGATATTTAATTAAGCCTAGTTGGCAGGTAGCAGGCATGGGGCATATGAATGAATAAATGCATCATGAATGAATCCTCACCTACTTGCCCATCCTCTCCCTCTGCCATGCGGGTGTGGGCTGGGCTGTCCTCCCCGGGTCTGCTCTAATTCAGAGGATGGATCTATTTCTAGGCTCTGGTCCTTCTCTTCTGCTTTGTCCTACGAGTTAACTGAGCAAGGTAGAAGCATGGGAGACAGCTCTAAGGGGAGCACATGAACTCTGTCCCAGGTCTCACTGGTTGGGCTTGCCAACCAGTCCTTTGGTTTTTTGGAAAATGAACTAATGCAGTTATCCTCTTGATGGCAGAAAGCAACATGCAGGCCATGGCTGTGGAAGACCTTATTTCTCGGGTTCGAGGTGGCAGTTCGGGCTGGGGCGGCAGCTTGACTCAAAACAGGAGCACCATTACATATCGTTCCTGGGGGAGGTCATTAAAGTATAATCCTGTTGTTATTGATTTTGAGGTAAGTCTTTTCGCACTTGAAGAAACTCTACATCCATGAGGAATGAAAGTGAAGCAGACCAGATCATTTCATATTTCTTATTATGAGCCCATCAAAGAAAAAGATTAAATGTAACGGCACACTGATCTGGTGGCCTTCCCCACGCCTGACTGTAGGGAGTGCGTGACTTTAAACCCGGGCCACAGGACCACTGGGAGCAGAAGCTTACTATCTGAGCAGAGCCTAGTTTTACACAAGTAGTCCCAGAATTTCTTCAGCATTAGGCCATATTAAAAAAACAGGAACTTGCATTTAGACAGAAAAGACTTTAAAATTACATTTGTTGAAGTGGGGGTTGGCAAACATTTTCTGTAAAGGAATGGATGGTAAATATTTTTGGCTTTGTGGGCCACATAAATCCTCTGTCCAACAAATTCTCCTCCTTCTTTTTTAAAAACTTTTATAGACATAATAACCATTCTTAGCTCAAAGGCCAACTGCCTCTGCTCTAAGGGATCCCAGCCCCTCATCACAATGAACCTCTGGTCCAGACGTGAGTCTCACCATGGAAAAGATTAGGGACCTGAGGCTCCAAGTCACCAGTGAGCCATTTACAGTCACAGAGCTCATACGTAGCTGCCTGGATTTCAGACCTTCAGACTTCATAACCAGTTCTCACTTCCCTCTACCCTAGCACCTTCCTTGAAGCCATGGTTCTCAACCTTGGGGGGAGGGGGGCAAGTACTTTGCTTCCCAGGGGAAATCTGGCAGCATCTGGAGACGTTTTTGGTTGTCACAGCTAGGAAGGTGCTATTGGCATCTACTGAGTAGAGACCAGGGATGCTGCTAAACATCTCCCAACACACAGGACAGCCCCCACAACAAAGAAATGTCTGACCCCAAACGTCAATAGTGCTGAAGTTGAGAAACCCTGCCCTAAATCCCTAACCTCACAAAGGCAGTAAGATTGTACTCAAAGTGCAAAGGAAATGGATTGCTCTACCAGTTGTCTAACTATTTCTATTCATAGGCAACGGTAGTCCATTTAGGAAAGAACTGTATTTTGGGCTTTTAAATAAAATATTGTTTTCTTGCCCATTTTCTCTTGACTCTTGTCCATTTTCTACATATACTTAAAATCCCAGGTGTGCATACATTCCTCTTCTTAAAATATATACCAACCAGTTGAACCCAAAAGTCTATTATAATACCCTGCTCTCTATGAAGAAAGAGGTCAGATGGATTAACCCTGATTTCATTTCTTCTCCAATAAGTAAGGGACCATTTTCATGCACCTGTAATTCACATAGGGCCTGAAAATTGCTATCATCAAGCTATTAGTCATTTGGGCAAAAAGTGTAAAATTGATATCAGGGGCAATATATAAACTTTCATGGGCAAGAGGTGAACTTTGTGTTTGCCTTGAGCAAAGCTTCCAAGGGGAAGTCTGATATTAATGATTTGGAAAAGACCAAATACTGTCTTTGGGGAAAGAGAGCCTACGTTTGGGGTGAGAAAGATATAATATGGATCATGGCTCGCCACCTTTTCAGTGTATAACCTTGGATAAGTTACTTTATTTTCTGAGCCCTAGTTTCCCAGTCTATAACATGGGGATAATAAAATGTTACTTCATAAGGTTAGGGAGAGAGTAGTGGGTACTTAGTGAATGTCAGTTGAAGAAACAGGTTGATGGAAACTAAGTAAGCTGGCCAAATACCGTAGCTGGTAAATGACAGAGCCCAACTTGAGCTCTGTCTGATAGATTCTAACACCCATGATCTCTTCACATCACAGGCTTCCCCCTGAGAGGTTTGGATTTGATGCATTAAGGTGCTGGCAGGTTACACAGCAGGAAGGTGACACAGCTAGAGCTGTGTTTTAAAAAGAGGATGCTTACAGATATATGAAGAATGAATTGAAGGGCTGGGGAGAGAGAGACAGACAGACAATGGGCAAGGAGTCCAGCCAGGGGGTTATTTGGGACCTGATGCTCAGAGTGGAGACAATGTCTTACTCACTTGCATGTCCCCATAGCTTAGCAGTGCTGATTTATGACAGGTACTTAGAGTGAATATAGGAATCATGTTATGTTCTGATGCTGTGCTATGTTATATATTATGTGTTAGGTTATATCATGTTGCTAATATCATACCACTTGCCTTCTCTGAATCTGTTTTCTTATCTATAAAATGGGAACAAAACCATGGCCAATATCTTTTCAAGCTCTAAGATGTTTTTCTCCAGCCCTCCTCCCTTCTTTAAGTCCCTACCTGCCCTTCTAAAGGAATGCTCCCTTTCCACTTGCTGTGGATTCTGGGAGTGAGGAGTGAGAGGCAGGGCACTGAGTGCAGAGCCCCACTGGAAGGTCACAGGGAAGTTGCCCAATGGTCCCGACCTTCCCTGGAATTAAGAGTCATCTTTAACTAGGGTCACAGGGCAGCACATCCTGCACTGACTTCCTAACAATGGGGCCCAATTTTCTGAACTTCCAGTAAGTGGTCATCTGCCCTCGGCTGGCAGCCCAGCCAGTCCTGAAATGACCAGGCTGGTGACCTCCGTGGCAACCTGTGACCACAAGCCAAGGTCTGTCTGTCACAGGTCTTTCTGTACACATTTCCAGGAACCCACTGAAGGCTACTGTGAGTGCCCTCTATTGACTTATGATTCTGGAGAAGTGAGGCTCAGTCCTCTCTCTGAATTGCCCTGTGACCTTGGCAAATCACTCCCATCTCAGGGCTCCGGGTTCCTGTTCTATAAAACGGGAGATCTGTGAAGGAGCTTTCATTGTATGACTGTGTGTTAAAATATATAGTGTTAAAAGCATGCCAACCACAACCATATGTACATGCAATTTGAAGAATTTCGGCTTTATCCCCCATCATCACATCTCACTAATAAAAATGGTGCTTTACTTTATATTGTTCTTCCCTTCTGCAATGGTATCTCTCTTTCATTACTTCTTTAGATCCTCATAAGAATTCTAGGAAGTAGGTTATTATTCCCATCTTATAGAAAATGAGGCTGAGGTTTAGAGACAGACAGGAAAGACCACAGAACTAGGACGGGAGCAGCATTTACTGAACTTCTACTCTGTGATAGACCTCTCCCATCTATCAGCTTTCATCCTCACAGTAAGGTCAGAGGATCTCATTTTAGAGACGAAGAAGGCAGGCTCCCCATCTAACCTGACAGATCACACAGCTGGAACTAGTAGAGCTGAGATCTGAAGCCAGATTTTCTGGTTCCAGATTCAATGCTCTCTACCACGTCTACTATTTCCCAACCAAGGATCGATTTCGCCCCCCGGGGGACATGTGGCAATGTCAGGAGACAGTTTCGGTTTTCACAACCAGAAGTTATTATCAGCATCTAGGGGGTAGAGGCCAGAGATACTTCTAAACATCCTACAATGCACAGGACTGCCCTCCCCTACCAACAAAAATCTCCAGCTGGAAATGCAGTCATGCTGAGGTTGGGAAACCCTGGGTTATAGTCATTCCTGGAATGGGCGGTGGCCTCAAATGCAAATGACCCCCCCCCACCTCTCCATACTGATACCAATAGGAGTGTTCAAGACCTGCCAACACAACTACCTGTAAGGTCTTTAATAACTCCTGCATGGAAGGTTAGCGATCAAAAAAAAAACAAAACCCCAAAAAACCCACACATAAATACCCATAATGCTTTACCCTCTTCCTGCCTACTAAAAGTGCTGGAGGGGGGCCGATGAGTTGACGTAGATTGCTACTGAGCTCTTTTCCTCTGGGATTGGGGGACCACAGCTTTCAGAGCTAAGCAGGCCCATGTACAGAGTGGCTCTTTCACTTAATTATGTGATCCTGACTGAGTCACTCAAACACTCGCAGTCTCTGGAGTTGAATGGTAGTGAGGATCTGATGGAATGGGGTAGAGTTGAGTGTCTAGTTCTGTGCCTGGCACGTAGCAGGCCTTCTAGAGGCTTGATGGCCAGTTCTTGGGCTCTAGGAAGCTGGAGGCCCAGGGAGGGGCTCTCTGTTCTTTCTGCACCCACAGATGCAGCCCATCCATGAGGTGTTGAGGCATACGACCCTGGGGCCCCTGAAGACCAAACGCCGGAACCTGCACCAAGCCCTGGACCAGTACCTGTCGGAATTCAATGCCTGCCGCTGTGGGCCCTGCTTCAACAATGGGGAGCCCATCCTCGAGGGCACCAGCTGCAGGTGTCAGTGCCCCCTGGGTCGCAAGGGCCTTGCCTGTGAGCAAATGGAGCAAGACGGTAAAGCCCACGCATCCTTACTCAGTTGCAAGCCTGGCCCCCCTTAGAGGGGCCAGCACAGAAAGGACCTTTGGGTTCCCTGCCTCTTCTTCCTGTGACCTCTTGCTTTATGGCTGACGCCCTCTTCCCACTTTAATGGTTCTTCTGCTTTCTCCCTGCTATCAAGACCCTCTCTCAGATGAGATCTGTTGTTTGCCAAGGTAAGTATGGACAGTAAGATTCATTTCTGGAGGGATATGTTAGTTTCCTAGGGTTACCAAAACAAATTACCACAAGCTGGGTGGCTTAAAGCAACACAAATGTATTGTCTGACACCTCTGTAAGTTAGAAGTCCAAAATTCAGGTGTATTGGCCTGGCTGGTTTCTTCCGGAGGCTCTGAAGGTAGACCTGTTCTATGCCTCTCTCCTAGCTTCTGGTGGTTGTTGGTGATCCCTGGCATTCCTTGGCTTGTATGTAGATGTGTCATTCCAATCTCTGTCTATTTTCACATGGTGTTCCCCACTATACGTCTCTGTTTTCTCTTCTTATAAGAAAGCTAGTTGTTGGATTAGGACCCACCCTAATCCATCAGGACCTCATTTTAATACGATATAAACTGCAAAGACCCTATTTCCAAACAAGGTCACATTTAGAGGTGATGGGAGTTTGGCCTTGAACATATCTTTGGGGGCACACAGTTCAACTCATGACAAGAGTTAAATAGGTGGCATTACAGTGCAAGGAGCTATGGCCAAAACTCAAAAGGGCTGGGGCAAGTCAGGTTTCAGTGTACTGTGGTACAGCATGAACTGACTGGTCCCAGGGAAGAAGGCTCTCAAACAAGGATTAGAAATCCATATCCCTCACAGATGAACAAGTCTGAGGACCTGGACGTGAATCCCAACTACTTCACTAACTTCCTGTGAGATGCTGGTGAACTATTTCCTTTTTTCTGGGGCTCATCTCACTCATTTAAGTTTCCTCTGGGCTTCAAGAATCTCTAGCCCAAGAATTTAGCCCAAATCCTTATGATTTCAGTTTTCTGCCCATACAAAGCTTATATTGTACATGGAATGATGGCAAAAACACATGGGCTGCCAAATCAACGTATAAATCGGTCTTAACTGGCCAGTGCAAAGAAGATAATGTAAAGGAAAAAAAAGAAAGTCTGGATAGGTATATCTAAGGTACTACTCTTAGGTCCATAAAACGAACTGTGGATGCCCATGGTAGATGGGGTGGGAGCCTGGTTTGAAAATGAGCTGATGGCAGGTTATAATTTCCTCACTGGGGTGTAGTTCTCGACAGGAAGCAAGATGGCAGAGCTCTGGTGGCAGATAGGCCTCTGAATACCAATGTTGTCAATTTTCATCTGAGAATCCCCTGAAAAATAGGGATAGTATCAGTACCTTCCTCACAGGTTGTGTTGATGTGACCCTAGCTAACACACATGGCAGGCTCTATTATAATATGTAAGAGGAAGAGATTGCTCTACTGGTAGAGGGTCAATCTTGGTTTGGTGCCTCATCTAAATCCCTCCTTTGCTGGCTGAAGGGAGTGCAAATTAAATCCCGACAAGCTGTCTTGTATCCTGTAGGAGGAATTCTGAGAGGGGTGAGCCAAGATGGTAAGTGAATCCTAGGGTCCTTATGAACGAGGATGCAGAGAATAAAAAACAAGTAGACTCATTACTAGATCAAAGATTTGGCACAGTTTCCTCATGGAAACTGAAAAAAGACACTGCCTGATGGGTGGGTAAACAGGGAGAAACAAAGAAACTTCTTTGGGCTGATACAGACCAGCTCCTGGGCTCTAGGTTTTCTTGACTTTCAAGCAGTGTAGACTGGGTTTCATCCCTCATTCACCTCATCAACTGGGCAGCTTTTCCAAAGGGACCAAAGGTCATTGAACAGAAAGAATAACTAACCCTTATTCTGTGCCAGGCACTATCTCAACACTCCCTGGGCATGAGCTCATCTCTTCCCCCAAGAATGCTGTAAGTACTGTTACTAGCCCCAAATCACAGATGAGAAACTGGGATAGGCGGAAGGTGACACACCTTTGCTCAAAGTCATCCAGCTGGGGAGTGTCAGAGCCAGGATTTGGACCCAGGGGGTTGGACCTATGCTAGGACCCAAGCTCTTAACTTACATTCTACTGATGTACATCCTAAGAGTCAGGAAATTTCAGAAATGAGGGCAGAGAGTCTGAGATGATTGCATTGACTATAATTTTGGGGAGTGGGAAGGGAAGGTATGTCCCAGTCCATGCTTATCAGCCAACCTGACTTAAAGAGCCCTGCCTTACTAATTACACTTATGGCATGGGCCCACAGTACCAGTGACTTGCTTGGATCCCTCGGATCCCTGGACAAAACCACAGAGGTAGAAAGGAATAGGGAGTGTGGGTTACCTAGTTATGCCTCTTCAGTGGTCCAATGCTAGGTTCAGTTGCAGCCATCCTGAGTCAGATGTACATAACAATGGGCCCTGCGGAAGGGGGACATGATGCCAAGGATCTGGGGGTGGTGGCAGGGCACAGAGGATGGGTCCTTCTCCTCACAGCCCATTTCTCTTGCAAGATTTCATCAGTCAACTGCAGGCAGCACACAGGTATTCCATTAACCTTGTTACAAGCACCGTGTGGACATCAGGTAGCCTTAGGGACATCAGACTGAAGTTCAGCCTGACAAAGATTAATTTGGAAAGGAAATCTAAGACTGGGCAGTCAGCTACCATGGAGACCCACTGACATTGATCCCTAAGGATTTTCCCTGCAAACCTTTGCCTATGGGGACCAAGTCATGGAAGTGAGAAAAATAGAGACAGAGAAGCCCGCTGTGGCTGTCTCACCAGGGAGTATAATTACAGAGCTCGAAGGGACCTGAAGATAATCTAATCCAGTGATATTCACACTGGGATCTGAAGAAACCTGTGGTCTTAAGAGCTGCCCCAGGGGAGCAGGGCAAACCTGACAGACACCCTAGCTTCAAATAAAACAGCCTTTCTTTTTTTTTTTTTCCAAAGATTTTATTTATTTATTTGAGAGAGAGAGAATGAGAGATAGAGAGCACAAGAGGGAAGAGGGTCAGAGGGAGAAGCAGACTCCCCGCTGAGCAGGGAGCCCGATGTGGGACTCGATCCCGGGACTCCAGAATCATGACCTGAGCCGAAGGCAGTCGCTTAACCAACTGAGCCACCCAGGCGCCCAAACAGCCTGACTTTCATCTGGCTGCCATATTGAGGCTTGTATAAAATTTCATTTAAAGGGGAAAAAAAACAATAATGAAAAAATGATGGAAAAACCCCACCAGATTAGTCCAGCCATTTCATTTACAGAGGTGAAAACTCAGGCTGAGAGAGGGTCGGCCCCAAGGCACAGAGCCAGTAGGACCAGCAGCCCCAGGCCAGGGGGCTGCATGAGTTGGCTTTCCAGAAGCAACCCATGATCAGTGCCTATGTTCTCATGCTCTGTGCAGAGACTCTGTCACTCACTGTGGCCCCACCGTCAGAGTCGGAGGGGCTCTGATTTGCAAACCCTCACAAAAACCCAGCAAGCCTCTCTACAAGGCTGTCAGGCTGGCCCTTGTCTGTGAATCCCTGGCTGGATCGTGCTCCCTGCTCTTCACACCCTCCAGTGGCTCTGTGTTATTCTTCCAGAGGAGCGTGCCTTCCCGCCTTACGCTGCTATCTCTCTTCCATGGAACTGCACATTCCAATTTCACGAGATGGGCTCTCAGTGGCCTCTTCTCACTCCATCCAGAGTTTCAAATTAAGAGCAAGGCAGCGAGCACAGAGGTCTTGGTTGGCTACACCAGGCATTTCCCCAAGGAGAGATTGCGGACCACACCAGGGCAATGGGATGGGCCTCCCTCCTGCTAGTCTGAGCTGCTTCTTGTATGCTAACCTTCTCCTCCCTTGGGGAATTATCTGTGCAGGAGCCAAGGCAGATGGTCGCTGGAGCTGCTGGAGCTCCTGGTCTGCTTGCAGAGCAGGCACCCAGGAGAGGAGGAGAGAGTGCAATAACCCCGCACCCCAGAATGGAGGTGCCTCGTGTCCAGGGTCTAAAGCGCAGACCCGGGCTTGCTGACAGCCTCTGGGCACCGATGCCATGGATATCACCCCCTGCACCGACCACTGGATAAAGACTTCTTTCAGCTGAGGGAAAACAGAAATCGACATGGACTTTTTCTCTGTCCTGCCAACTCGTGGGCCCAGGACCAGCCCGTGCCATCTACAACAAACTGTCCTATTATTCTAGACTTTGTTCAACAACTGGGTGCAGGGCGTTAACTAGGGGCTCGGTCCTGCTTACAGCACCTCAGATCATCCAAAAACCAAGAGAGAAATCTCAATCCATGCCGTAGAGGGATTTATAGGATGTTAGAGGTATGAGGCAAGCAGATGCTGTTGAAACAGTCAATGGCCAATAAAACGAAGTATGATGAGAATTATTTCAGTTCTTTGAGTACAATATTTGTTCATTCACAGAACCATTACTAGCTGGTAGAATAAGCAGACACACTGAAATAATGAGAAAAAAATGAAGACTGATTTGAGTTCCTTCAATTTCCCTTCACCTGGATTCAACAGTATTTTCCTTTATTCCCTCACTTAATCTCCCTTGGTTAAGTTCTTACCACAAATAACACATTTCCCCCAGTTACCATCTCATGGCACACTATCCTTTTCCTTTGTTGCATTTTTCACAGTTAATAATTCTATATTTGCTGCCATATGTCCTGTGACTATTTATGACCTGTCTCCCCTGAGACGGTAATCATGAGAGATCAGTTTTGTTTGGTTCAGCACTGTATCTGAAGAGGCCAGTGCTGTGCCTGGAACTGGGAGGGACCTAACAACCATCCTTGGATGAAGTGAGGGACCGAACTCAAGAGTCAGTTCAAACATGTGGTCCAGATTGGTCAGCTCTCCAGACTGGAGCATGGATCTGGAGGGGCCAACCAATGCTGACCAGTGGACCTTCCCTGCCACCTGTGGGAGAGCCAATCACACCAGCCTGCCTCAGTATCCCCATAGCACTCCAGTCATGCCTCAAACAGAGAATGTATTGTGTTGCGCTGACTTTTCTGTTTACTTCTAAGTTTCTCTTAGAGGTTGGTGGTTCCTTGGTGGTGGAATTTGCATTTCCACAGGGACCAAAAAAAAATCTGTTGATTGATATATATTGGTGTTCCCTATCTTTCCAGAATCCTCAATCTTTTTACGGTAATCATAAGACATATACATGAAACAATTAGAAGGGGTTTTAGGGACTCAGGGAATTAATTGCTGAGTTAATGCCAAAGTAAGTGGCAAAGGAGACCAGGTGGGAGAGAGATTTACCTTACCTCGTGTGTGTGTATTTTATATACGGAATGGGGCTTGACCCAGACCTTGAAGGATCATAAACTAGGCAAAGAGGGAGGAAGACTTTAAGACAGAAATTCAGCATGTAACAGAATTTGAAGGTGAGAAAGAACCTTGGGGGCACGTGCAGGTGAACGTGTTGGGAATGGAGAGTGGGGAAGAAGGTGAAAGTAAATATGTCATATAAAACAGCACAGTGCCTATTGCACATGGAATTATTAGCATCACCCTTATTATTCCTGTTACTATTATTAATTAAAACTTATAGTTTGGAAGTTTCATTTCTGAACTCATTAGATCTTCCATCTGAAAGAAGACTTCTTTACTGCTTTTCATCCTGTCATTTATTTGCTTTTTCCTTTTAAAGTTAATTACCTTAGTAATTAATTTTCATTCATTATTTACTAGAGAGCAAGAGTTACATGCTAGTAACTGACGGAGGCCGAGTGCACAATTTACAGAGGACATTCTAGCTTGGTCTTCATGAAAGTCGTAATTCTCAAACTCAGTTGCAGAGTAGAATCGGTCAGAGGGTTTTGAAAACCTTGACGTCCAGAGGCTGCACCCCAGACCCGTGAAATCCAAATGTCTGGAGGTACGAGCCAGACAGCAGGAGTTTTAAAGCTGTTATCAACTATACTTCAATAAAACAAGGAAGGCGGCAGCCAAGGCTGAGAACCCTTGAGTGAGGGGAGTCATCATGGGTTCATGGGAACAGGTGTGTAACAAAACAAAAGGGCAGCCACCGTAGGGTTTACCTGTGCTATCTCATTCAGCCTTATCAAGGACCTCTTCAGGTTCGCTTTATGAGTCCCACCTCACTGCTAAGGACACTGAGCCTTGGCAAGGTGGAGCCTCACGGTCGGCCAGGGTTTGAATGCAGTCCATCAAGCCCAGGCTCCCTGCCTTCGCTCTATGTTGGCTACCGGTGCAGGGACATGCAGGATGGCGTGTGGGCTGCAGGGGAGAGGCATGGAAGCTCCTTTAGGGGTGAATCTAGTCCTCTAGGCGGGAGGTGAGAACGTTGGGGTTAAGCAAGTGCCTGGATCACCTGTGAGCCCAAACCACCAGCTGAGCCATGCGTTGTCTTCCTGTCGCTGGAGCCAGGGAACCAAGGCCACCGTCTGCCCCAGCTCCCCCGAGGACACCACCCCCCCGCTGCCTCCCCAGCAGTTTCAGAAATCACAGTACAGTGGCAGGGGCAGTTTCAGAAGCAGCAACCCTTCCCCAGATCAGCGCCTTTCCTTCTTCAAGAACGCCTGGCTCTTGCCAAGCAAAGGGCATAAAGCTCGTCAAATGTATTCTCCCTCAGGTCCTTTCAGGAGACCTATAATCTAAGGCTTTATAGGTAGTGGATGTAAAAACACGGCTTAAAGATATAATCTTCAGCTTGACAAGGTGTCTTTGGAAAGTAAATTAATGACAGAATGGAAAGCAATAAGGAGAGGCTTTTTTTGCTTTTTTTCTTCCTTGAGATGGAGGAAGATCTAAAGAGTTCACTCAATGAATCTCTTCTGAACTATATATGCCTTTAGGGTGAAGAAAATGGACAGAGAGAAAGGGTAGGCTTCAAAAACCACACCGCAGAAATGAGAGATGGCACAACGCAGCTGTTGGGGGTCGTGACAGGAAGGGGATGTGATGCGGATTAGCGGAAGGACACCCCTCTTCCATGAAGGCAATCGGGACTGCTACCCCTTCACTTGGGAAACGGGCGAAGCCCCCGGGGAGCTCCTGTGCCAGGCCCCACGCCAGGTGCCAGAGATACAGAAATGAATCAGACGTGGTTCTGGCCCTGCGAGAATGCAGGGGCCAGGGATGGCAAGGGGTCCCATGCCAGCAGGAAGCCCAGAGGGCTGTGGGGGCTCGCCCAGCTGGGGGAGCGGATGGAGTGGAGTCTAGGAAATGAGTGGGAGTTAGACAATTAAGGAAAGGCGGAGAAGGGGCAGGATAACACAGAGGAAGCAGCATGCGCAAAGTCACCATGGTGGGAGCCCCTGAGGTGGTGTGAGGAGGGTGGCAATTCACTGCTCAGCGCCCTGGTTTGGGTGCTGGTCCTTCTGACGCTGGAGACTGCTGAGTTCAGACTTTTGGTCTGGTCCCTGAGCCTTTCCTGAGGGCAGCTGGTGCTTGGTCCTGGGGAAATTTCTGTAGATGCCACTTCCTTGCTCACCTCAGGCGCTCCTGGTGGTTCAACACCCCACAGCCATTGTTAGAAAGCCCAAGCATTTTTAACTGGATTCACAAGGTTCTCTAGGATCCGATGCCAAAGTGCCACTCCATCTTCAGCTCCTTTTTTAGGTTCTATGAGCCACTTGTACTAAAAATCTGTTGCCCTTACAGGATGTACAAAGCCCTATATGTCTAGCCTTTGGCTCTGTGACTTCATTTCCTTCCATTCACTCCTTCCCTCAATCATGTTGCTCTAGCCATGAAAGGCTGTTTGTGGTTCCTCATACATGTCAAGCTCTCTCATGCCTCAGAACTTTGCATCTACTGTCCCCTCTGCCGGAAATGCTCATCTGCTAAATGAGCTCATCCAAGCTTCACGCCCTTGTTTCATTCAAGTCTCTGCTCAAATATTATCCCTCCAAGGACCTTACTCCCATTTAGTTTTCTTTTATGGTACTTAGCACTACCTGAGATTAGATAGATTCGTTCATTCTCCTATTTTTCTTGGTATATGCCTCCCCCCGTTAATATGCAAACTTTTTCATGGCTTGATCCCCAGTGCCTAGAATAGTATTTGGCCTTAATAGGGGGTCAACAAATATTTGTTGAATGAGTGATTTCCAATTGAGTTCCTCAAATAGGCCAGGCTTTTTGTCCCCTCCAGGCCTGTGCATATACTACCCAGAAGCACCCTGCCCCCCAGCTCCCTCTTCTCCTAGCTCTTTGCCAGTGATCTTCAGGCAAGAGGTTAGGTGTCAGCCCTGACCCCTCCCGTTAGCCCACACTTCGTCAGGTGCCACTCCTCCATATGGCTCTGTATCCCAGCACTTTCCATTCTATCACTGTAGCTTACTTGTCTGTCTCCCTCACCTAGTGACTTTTGCAGAGCAGGTAGAAACGCATCTTCACCTTTGGAGCCTCAGTACCGAGCATAGCACCCGGACATAGGAGCTTCCCAGTAAAAGTCTGTTGGATGCTGTTCTCTCTCTGGGTCCCTCCGTGCTAGAAGCAAAGGCTCTGAAATGGCCTTAGCATGTAGGGTCAGGAATTCGTGAGCGAGAACCATATTTTCACAGGACTTCCAGATCCTGCAACCTTCCTGGAGCATCAGAGGAGAGCCCACACCCTTCCAATAGGCTATGTAAACTTGAGAGGGAGAGACCACCTTTTCCACCTTCATAAAGGAAAGCCCATCAAATCGAGTTAAAAAGTCTGCATTAGTGGCCTTGGGGTTCCCCCCCCCTCCCCTGGGAGAGATAAAGAAAACAGTTTCCCTTCTATATTAGCAGCTTAAAATGTGAGATAAATCCTCCTGCCTAACCAGTTTGTAACAAATGGACTTCGCTGTCCAGTGGCGTGATACATTTCTGATGGATCTATTTATCCATTCTATTTCTTTAGAGATAGCAGCTAAGAAGTTTTATCTATTATTTATCTCCCTCCCCCATTCCCATTTTCCTAACCAAGCATGTAGAGCAAGCGGTTGATGGATGGATGGTGTTTGGGATAAAAGGGACCAGAATCAGATACTTTTCAGGATACGAACAAACTGGCTTATTAACATGGAGGACCGTCAGGCAGGAGGCGGTGGCGGGGTGGGGTGGGGGGAGGAGGAGTGGAGACCGGACGAGGGCCAGTGATGGATGAAGGAACACCTGGGGTTGCAAGGTGGAGACGTGAGATAACTGGTGGGTGCCGCCGCGGATAATGGCAGTGCCCAGGCTCTGGGGCGGTTCCTGCACAGAGGTGAAGGT